TTTTCTGTTGAGTTTTTCCTTTTCGAGAATATTTTTCACCATGCTCGCTTGAATCGCGAATTTTCGTCGACGTTTCGACGAAAATGCGATTTGTTATACGCTCCTGTCCGCCTTTAAAAAAAAAAAAAGAAAATCGAAAAAAAAAAAATCATCACTTACCACATATAATTACCAACGGTTAACGCGCCTTAGGAGAGATATTTTTTACCCATTCGTCAGAATCGTGTTTGAGCAACGTTCCCGACGATAACCAAACCGTATGAATGGCCCCCTCTACTTACATGAAAGGCAGTGACTATTTCGAAGTAATTTTGAATATTATACGTCCGTGAAGCCACTTCCTGAAGACGTGAAATTATCTTCAAAACTGTTTTGACGTTACCCGTCAAAATATTTTTGTCATTATTTTGACGTCTCAAACATAAAACTTTGTATCTTCGGGGTCGGGACTGGGGAGTGATAGAAGGTGGCGGTCAAAAAAATACCATTTTGCTTGCAGCAGTGTCGCAGTTTGGCATGCATTTTCTGAGAAAAAATGTTGTGCGGTCAACTGCTGTTTTTATGATACTTTCATTGACGCGGAATGCAAAAAAGACCTTCTCAAATTACATCAGCTATCGGGCCGAAAGTGTTGTTTGCTTGGTTGTGCCAAACACCACTGAATGCGGCACCACTGCTTTTCATGATTTATTTCACGTGATTTATATAGACACAGGAGCTGAATGCCGTGTCATAAAATTTGCAGTTGATTGGAAAGTGTGTATCTCATACAACTGCGCCAGAGCTTTCGTTCATTCTTACTGGTCAAGAAACATCTAGGAGGCAGTGTTTTGCATTCATAACGTTTTATTTAACATCCCAATCGTTTAGGTGTTCACCCACTCTTTATACACAAACCAGACAGAAAATCTGAACTAAACAACAAACTCACAAAACCCGGTTAAAAATCAGGTGGGATCCAGATGCAAAGCGAGACTGCAAGCATATGAAGACGTGCTCGCACGATATAAATGCACAAAAAGCATGCCAAATTTCTTAGTGCTATGTTGTGTGCGCACTTACATTCGTTATGTGCAGCGAAGACAGAGGGGTATCTAGCTTTGTTGTAAATACAAATTTTTAAGTCAGATGCGAGCTCAGAACGTCGCTGCCAGGCGTGTCACGTACGAAAGGATAAACTGTCGAGCCAGTCCCACACACGCGCGGAATAAACATTTCCACTGCCAACCAGAACCACAACTATCCGTCAAAACGCCCAACACAACACCAATGACACCGTCGGACACTATAAAGAAGTATACCACAAAACGGCTACCACTGCTATGGCTGCTGCATTGAAGGAGCACATCGAGATATTTTGATGGTGGACGTCGAAATAGTCATTGGGCCGGAGCCCGACGCCAATCGTGCTTGGACGTATTGATTCAACACGAGATCTAGCTGAAAATGGGGCGGGGCCAGTCGGTGTGCCTCTGATTCACACAGTATCGGGTTTTACTGCTTTCTATGGTGCTTATTTCACAATTTCCGAGATTTCATTCTATTATCACTTTCATTCTTTTCAAGTTAAGCATAAACTTTTGTGCACGCGGTGCAGCCGTGACTCAACAAAATGTCTTTAGGTAGGGTGGATGGGTAGATGGTACTATAGTAGGCAGCCTAAATTTGGCCCCATGTCTCAGTTTTGCAAATAGGATGGATCACATGTAAATGTTACCAGTGATGTGAAATGGGCTAGGGCACATTCTTTCATGCGCATTTACCCCTGTGAAATGTTTGTACTACCACTCCTTTCCCAAAACAATCCTTGGCCCTTACGCAGCATGCATTTGAGCAGTTGGCTTTCAGTAACCTTCTCTACTGTTGGTCCATTCCACTCTTCTAAGCTTATTTGTCCGTCGGCTTTGGCCTCTTCTCGAGTGGTTTGGCACATGACACGTCCCCTCTCTTCCTTACTATTGAAATGCTTAACTTTTGCTCTGATACTTGGATATGCCTCTACATTAAAGGTCGAAATGCAATGCTGGCTAGGTGGGGCAAGCTGCCTCAGTTGGACAGGTTCAACCACATCAATCCAGCTTGCAAAGTTAGTATGTGTCACTAGGTGAGGCAGAGCCCTGACGCATCACCACTGAGTCAGCAGCCTGCGTATGTGGGTCGTGCCAGGGTTTGGCGTCAGTCTCAATTGCCGCGCGTTTCCCCCCCGGGCTGACGCCAAAGTGCGCAGGCATTCCCACTTCGCCAGCAGTGGCAAAGTGCCCATCTTTCGTTCCCAGTCTTTTTGTCACTCGGCGAGAAGACTTGGCCGTGGCTCTGGCCGTGGGTTTGGGAGAGCGTGTTTACGTGTGGCAAGCAGAGGGTAAAATCCCATCTGGGGACATGTATTTTTCGTCCTCCGGCTAAGCGTGTGGTCCCGCTGCATTGCTCTCGTGGTGCAGTGAGGTCTTTTGGTAGGCTCGCAAATAGTAGTCAAGTGGACACAACCATGTCAATGCGTTTCTCTTCTTGTCATCTGCCTTCTATGATTTGTTTACCCCTAAGCCGACAGCCTGGTGGAAGCTACACATTCTTGCTCGTTGGACCGGTCGTGCATCTATCTTTCACCGCATAATCACACCCCAGTCAACAAATACGCTCGTGCAGACAGTGTGATCACTTGGCAACAGTTACGCATGGCTGGTTTACTGCGCAGTTAGCGCTCACTTCAATGTCAACTTAGGGTTGGACACAGTATAGCATGGCTCGTTTGGAACAGAATGTATTTTTTTATTTAGCGGTTGAAGATTAATAGTTGTAACTTATTCTTGTCATGTTTAGAAGGCTGCGGCATCCCTTTGAGCAGGTGGGGCTGATGAATGGGGGATGCTCCTGAAGAATTTATGCGTGCCCGGATTACTCGTTAGACTGACACTATGTACGTGGCAGCTTGAACCCATTTCGGAAACCTAGACCGCAAGCTGTCACAGCGTCAAACTGAAATGATGGAGGTTAGAGAGGTGGCAGAGACAGATGTTGATGCCAACATCAGAAGAAAAAAAATAAGACATTTATAATGTTCCACGATGGGCAGTGTCGCAGACTAGGGACTCCGAGGGAGACGAATAACTTGGCCGGCGAAACAACCGAAAAGAACAGAGGTGGTAAACAGTTGGAACTTGGAATTCACTCTTACTCCTATTTATAGGCAGCCTATTCTCGGGAGGCATGGCTGTGCCAGGCGACAGTGCCTCTGAAGGTTTTTTCGTGTCTAAGGAAGCCACGGGGGTGTATAATAGTGGCTTCATAAAAGGCTCTCTTTCCCGATCTTTTTACGGCTGAGCTCACTCACTCCTTTGTTGACTGTGGGGGTCACTGATGGCACCATGGTCGGGCATAGCGTGTATGTGGAGCAGAAATCTATGCATCTCAAGACTATGAACTCGCAGGGTGGTTTTTTGTGCCGTGGCGCTGTGTTAAACTGGTCAACAAGATGTGTTCCGTCCAGAGTGTCGAACTGGAACCGAACCGAAAACTGGAACCGAACCAGTATTTTTTCCGGAACTGAACCCGAACCCGAACCGTTATGTTGTTATTGCGATGAACCCGAACCGGAAAAAAATAACGGTTACCGGCTCATGTCAAAACGGTTCGGCCACGCGCTGTTGACAATGAATGTGCTATCAATGCCGTTCGTTTTTTAAGTGCCGTCGATGACACACACCTCGCTTACATATTTGTCTTCTCCACTCAGTCTTAGGAATATAAACGCTGCATCCATGAATCTTGACATAGGAACCAGTATTGCGCTGGTCGCGGCTTGCACAGAAGAAATTGAAAGGCTGTGCAAAAAAAAGAAAAAAAATCGGGTCACGGGATTTCATTTTCCTACAATCTCGTAAATCCTAAATGCTGATGTGTGCTCATTTCATAACGCGTTTCTAGAACGCGCGAGTTCTTGAAGCTTGCTTTCATCGGAATGAGAAAAAAAAAAAGGCTGTGGAGTTTGATAATAATGCACCCGGTTTCGTATAGGCACTTAGAAGCTAACATGTTTGTGAGACAGCAAACTCTTCTATTTTAATATTCATCCTATTACGTCCTTCTGGCGTTGCGTTCGGGGAAGTATTTTTCATATTCCGTATCTTGTTTAATGAAAACTTCTTTAAGGGTCTAATTTGAGTTACCGAAGGCTAGTTCAAATAAAGATGCTTACACGCCGAGGCGGCGGGATAGTTAGCGAGTTCTACTTGTAAGTGGGTTTGTAAGGAGGTCGCGGATTTTACAGCTACTGCGTCGGACCCAATTAGATGAAGTCCGAATGCGTAAACGTCGGTGAGGTAACCTTTGAGTGCACATAAAGAAACCATTCCTGGTAGAAATCCCTGAGGCTTACACTAAGATGTATCCCGTTTCGTATGTGCTGATTTCAGATGTTTTATTTGTAATTTATTTTGATGTTGCAATTTGTCATTTCTAATTTCCAAACCAGTTCGCAAACCGGTTCAGCGCCCCGAACCGGTTCGTGAACCGGTTCGCGGATCGAATTAATCAAACCGGAACCGAACCCATATTTTTTTCGGTTCGACACACTGGTTCCGTCTGATATTTGCTGTGATATTCTTGATGTCCAATAGTGATATGACATGTGTTGCAATCTAAAGTTTTGCATTTATATACAATAGGCAGTACATATACAGGCAGGTAGGTCTGTTGCCGCAACTGTTCACGTTGCTAAGGGCAGCATGGACTCCGGGGTCCTGCCCTAATGCTACGAGGTAGTGAATTAAATGCAGCCCACTGTTCCGACTGTGCTCGATGTGCGTGTCTAAGGAGTGTGCGCTTTCTTTACCGTAGAGTTTAGAACTGGTCATTATGCGAGAGTTTCTTGAAAGATGAAAACTTGGGATGAGCTTGCTTTTTCTTGCTAAATCACCCAATAGCTTGGATTTTGTTGGGATGTTTCCGTTTGCTTTGTGAAGCTACACAGTATGACCTGACCGCATTCTCTTTGTCCTTTGCAGCGTGGAGCGCGATGCGCTGCGTGAGCGTGAACGGCAGGCAAGGGCCCAGCGGGCGGGTCTGGGAGCGGGAGAAACCGGCGGGCACCCCATCTTTAGAGCCCCCATCAAGGTAAGACGAGTGTTGCAACAGAATAGTGTTGGAACAGAATATTTGAGCTAGAAATAAAGTGGTCTGGTGGCTTGCCCGAAATCAAGTCGGTCGGTTATGTTTAAAAAGGTGTCAAATAAAATTATCGCCCTAGCTGCGATTTTCACATGCTACTCTGCTTGTACCGTAGTTTTTGCAGTGCTTACCTGCAGTCTGTCTTCCTCGTTTTGTTTTGTGGAAGCCGGCCGTAGTGGCATTTTGAGTGCTGCTGAAGGGGAACTGCGAAGTCTGCCTATTTGTAACAATAGTAATGATTAGCAGAGGTGTAAACGGGTGTTTTAACCATTTACTTCTGACCACACACCACCCACAAATTGATATTATGAATGTTGAAGGGAGGGATTGTGAGGCGATTGCTAACAAGTGCTCAGTATGTGCACCTTACATTCAATCCTACTAATAAAGTCAGGAGATGCAGAGTGTGCAGCGCAAAGAAGCATGTATTTCTCTCCTTATAATTTAACTACCGTCAGTGGTTATTGATACTTAATTAGTAGGACTTACTCAATTTACCAGAACGTAGGTCCACCACGTCTTTGCTTCTCTTTTGTTATGCCCCGCTCACGTCGGGGAAGCCAGCTCTATAATAGTCCACATCAAAAATCCATGGTTTCCTTCACGTGCTAGTTTTTGCGATAAACCCATGAATAGACCGATCTTACCAGCTAGTTGGAGAATGCCACCGCTGCCGCCATGCATCGTGGGAGCTGTAGTCTTTCTGCACGCGCGACAGCCCTGCTGGAGGTCTGCGCGAGCAGAGCACGAGGCGTCATGAGCTCTCTCGTGAACTGGCGTCTGCCTCCTACGAACATACCTCGGCAAACCTCACTCATGAGGGCCCTTACTCACCCTCACTCACCCTCACTTTGACAGGTGAGGTGAGGGTGAGTGAGTTCCTGAACCAGGAAAATTCATGAGTGAGGGTGAGTGAGGGCCGTGAGTGGCGTGAGGGCTATGAGTGCGTGAGGGGTGTGAGGGCCGCAAGGGCGGTGTGGCGCGTGAGGGCGGTGAGGGCCGTGATGGCATCGAGTGGCGTGAGTGCGTGAGGGCCGTGAGGTTCAGTGAGGGTGAGTGAAGGGCTGAAGGTGAGTGTGACGGTGAGGGTGAGTGAGGGGCTTAGTGAGTGTGGCTGTGAGAGTGAGGGTGAGTGAGGGCGACCTAAAATGCCGACCTCTGCCTACGAACTACAGTCATGGCGGCATCACGCATGCGTGGAACGCTTCGTGAGATCGGTCTATTGATACCGTTTCATGGTGCCCTTGGAGCATTAATGCACCTATTTGCTCATTCCATGCATCTGACGTGCACATCTGATGTTGTGCGTATCTGACGGCGGCGACCTTTCTCCGTGTCCAGGTGGACCCGGGCCAGGAAGATGAGATCTCCCGCCGCATCAAGAGCACCCTGGGCGACTTCAGCCAGGTGCAGCGGCTGCTGACCCACGACCCCAACCACCTGATTGGCATCTCCCGCACCAATGCCGCCCTCTCCTCCTCGAGGGGTGGCTCGTCCTCGGTGCCCCCCTCCTCTGCGGGACCCGTGACATCTGCGCCGCCTGGCCCCGCCCCCACCAATGGCGTTGGCAGCAACGCCTCCACGTGGAACGGCACAGCCACGGGTCAGTGTTGGCAGTTGCCCTAGCAGCCATCAGTGAGGGCCTTGTCGCGGGGCGGGTTGAGCAAGTTCCGGTTGGCTACGTGAAGTCATTTATTTATTGTTTAATGTTCAGGGCTTATTTGCAATGTTGACTATGGGAAATCATCGTTGGCTGTCATTTAGTAATGTAGGACTGAGTTGCACCCGTAAAGTTTTTGTTATTATTTAATGATATAGGCATTAATTTGTAATGTGCCCACCCTGTTATCTTTTTTGACGAACTTCCGGTTCAGTTACAGCCCAAGCTGAACGAGCATATGCTATTTCACCGTTTGTTACGAACAGTTGAATGTCATGCTCGCGACATTCAACTGTTAATTGGCTTACAACTGTTCATTATCATTATCTGTTTTTTTTTTTTTTTTTTTTTTGTGTCGTGCAACTCTTCCTGTTACTGTGGAATGTACTGGGGACTGAAAGCTCGTCGTAACATCTTGTGCAGCTTTGTTTTGTTAACCAAGTGCAAATAAATGGAGTATTTGTCGTACAAGTTCGGTTGCTGCATGCTGCTTTGGGGTCAGGTTACTCCTCTTATACTGGCATCTATAGTTCGTTAGCCATGTTTATGAAGCAGGCACGTAGCCAGGGGGGGTCCCATGGCCCCCCCCCCCCCTTCCCAAATTGCCATTTTGCTGGGGCCTCCTCTCCTCCCTCCCCCTCATACAACATTTTGTCATGGGTGCCCCCCCCCCCCCCCCCCCCCCCCCCCCCCCCCCCCGAAACAAAATCCTGGCTAAAGTGCCTGTTGTGAAGTACGCATAGATAGCAACAAAACTACATTGGTGTGAAGGTAGACTCTCATGTCATAGGAGGGTATGGTGTTACTGAGATGAGATGCTACAAAAATGCTGCCGCGTGCCTTAAACTATTGCAAGCAGTGTCTGCGCATGGGCATTCCACTTTTGCCAGAACAAAACACTGACTGTTAGGGTAAGGTTTATACAGAATGGTTGCTCTCCGCTCTGTCCTGTTTACGAGAGAGCATCACTGAGCTTTGGCGAGCTTCGTTTGGAAATAGGGGCAAGGCTAGGGTGAGATTTTGCAGGATGTGGTGAGGCATACCACTTTAGGGATTACCATTAATTCAGTCCAGTTCTTTGTCCTTTAGTTGAAGGCTTCAGATATAGAATAAACAATGTTATTTTATCTAATAAATATAAACTAAACCTTAGATGCCTGTACTAGTGTAATATGCCCACTGCAGCTTTGCTTTAATGTATACACATCTGTAGTTTATTTAGTACTTCTCAATATATCAGGAAGGTTCTGTGCCATGGTGAAATGAAGGGCTAGTTGGTTATACATGGCACAAACAAGGGTAGCTCGAAAGGGGGGACAAGTAGAAGACAGAGAGAAGTGCTGACCCACAACTGACGTTTAGTGAAGAAACAAAAGAAGCTAAAGCAGAAGTGCAAGGAAATAAACGAAATAACAAAACGACGAAAGAAAGCAAACTATTTTTGACCTCGAAATTAAGAAGTAAGAAAATGAAGTGGGCCTACAACTCAATAGGTTATAGTAATATAATCACATAAAAAAGGAAAGAAACAGTGGCAAAATACCAAATTGGAATGAAAACCTACTCCAATAAAATGAGAGAACGGAGATGCCTCTGGAAAATTACGCTAGTGAAACAACGTTCTCAGACAAAACATTGTAAGTAGTGCAGTTCCTTTGCCGATAAGGCTAACGACGGCACACTGATGCATGTATCCTCTTTAGCCGCTATGGCTTGCTCCTAATAAATTTCTCTTGCCTTTCAATGGCTGAACTACCTTAGGTTTTTTGTTTGATGGAATAAGGGGATACACTCGCAATCTCAGACGTGTAGAGCGAGGTGCCACACTGATGATGACTTCAGAGACAGTGCATGTTCTCTTAATCGCATGTTTACACACCGGCCAGTCTGGCCCACATACACCTTCCCACATGAGAAAAGCCTCGTATACAGCTGTTTCAACCTGCGAGGTGCATAATTCGCCACCTTCACCTCAAACCTGTTGGCTACCCTTTTCGGGTTATGTGAAACGCAGTGAACGTACGGTGCTATGGCTGGGTGGCACCTTTTCTCCTTGTTTCGCCCTTGTATTCTATAAATATCCAAAGGCAATTCAACGACCAAAGAACAAGAGAAATTTATGAGACGCAAATCATACGGGGATGAATGTATCAGTAGCGTAATTTTCAGAGGCCCCTTCTTTCTTTTCCTTTCTTTCATTTTATTGGAGTAGGTCTTAATTCCATTTTGGTTTTGCTGTTTTTTTCTTTTTCATGTGTTTATATTAGTGTAACTTGGTAATTTTTGACACCACCTCTTTTCTTGTATTTTAAATTATAAGGTCAAAAATAATTTTTTGCTTTTTCATTCTTTTTTTTTTCTTGGTTTGTTGCACACTTCTGCTTTATCTTCCTTTGTTTCTTCACTAAACGTTACTTGTGAGTCAGCGCTTGTTTGTGTCTTCTTCTTGTCCTCGTCTTTTGCGCCAGGTTTATTTGTGTAAGGAAGGTTCTGCATTAGTGCCAGCCAAGAGTAGAAGTAACCCAGGGTAGGTCAAACCTGGTGGACTAGATGAGATATCTGAATGATATTCGCACGCAGCACTGCCAACAGTAGTCCACTTAAATATCCACTTAGACCTTCAGTAGCAGGGTTCCATTGAATCACAGAAGTATGTTTCCTGTCACTGTTCAATTTCTCCTTTATTAGCGTCAACATATACTCTATCTAGTTGATGGCAGGTCAAAAACCCAGTTGTTGCTCTGTCTCCACTCCAGCATGTGCGACGATATTCTATCCAAGGCAGAAAGGTCATGGTCGAGCTGTTGCATCTTCTGGGCCCTTAACTTGTTGCCGAATATAGTAAAGCATGCAGTGTCGTTGACATAGTTCTATAATTTCAAGGTCAGTGTCGCATCACGCTTCGTCTCTTTGCAGACCCGGGCGGAACGCGCGTGGGCTCCTCCTCGAAGCACCACGGTGGCGGCGGCCAGCACCAGCCTCCCCCGTCGTCCCACCACACCGGTGGTCACCGTTCTCACCATAGCTCCAGCCACCACCACCATTCGCACCACCATCACCACAAAAAGCAGCAGCAGCCACAATCGCAGCAGCCACATCAGCCACCGCCACCACCACCACCACAACAGCAGCAGCAGCAACATCAGCAGCCACCGCCACTGAGCAATGGGCAGTACAAGTCGTCGTCATCATCTGCGTCGCAGTCCGCGGCCACCAAGGGGTCGAGGCACCCGCACGCCCCGCAGCTGCCGCCTGGGTCACACCATCCGAGGTCGAGTCAGGGATCCTCGGAGCAAGGTGTGTGCTTTCATCTGCACTCTGCTACTCACTGTAGTCTCTTGCCACACAAGAACTGAAGCAGATGCTCCCCCTTCCCCCCCCCCCAAAAAGTAACCATCTGATCAACCCCGACTGCACCGGGGTGTATTGAGCTTGAGGCGGTAGTCTTGGCCGAGGAGAGCGTTTGGCACTTCTCTTTTTTTGATCATGTATCAGGCGGTTGCATTTTTCTCTGGGAATTGAGGCTATAGGCCGACTACACGCTAGCATCACACGGGCATGTACTCACTTGACGTTTTGTGTGGCACCGTGGAAGCCACGCACAGTAGGGGGGGAAGCTCCCTATTTTGCCCTGAATTTTGTGGAACATGAAAATCCTCGAGTGGGTTCCTGAATTATTCCCCATTGGTGAATGCGGCATTTGTACATTCTTGTCCTTGCAAGGCAATGCGGGGAATAATGCCAGTAAAATTGGGAATATCCATAACGTAGAGTTTCTGAAGGGAGCTTTTCTTTTTTCTAACTGCCACGCACCATCGTCGATGACGAGCTTAAGTCCCAGTACATGCCCCACCTCCGGCTTTCTGCATTTGATGGTATTTCGTTGCACATGCAGCCAAAACACCGCAGGAGACAACGACCGCATGCTGGCGGTGGAGCTTCTTATGAGTTTTTAACCTGTCACCGACCATACACTCCCACATGTGCCTCTGACAGTGGAATGGTGTGGAACGCATCTCCGGCTAAAACGTTTGTAGTATTCTCAAGAGTGGTCTCTCGATTTCTGCCCGATGATGTCATAAAAGTGTCGCATTCTCGCCCACTATCGTTACCACTTTAAGACCACCTTCACCGCATTAGCAGAATCGGACGCTAAACATGCCGGTCTGAGACGCGTTGTAGGCACTGCAGTAGCGCTTCGCACAGCCTGCAAGTCTAAAGAGTAGCATCCCAGACCCCCTCTTAACTCGTTCTGCCTTCTGGCTGTTCCCCGCAGGCCGCCCCGACCGGACTGAGGACAATCCGTCGGAGCGTCCTAAGCCCGCCGCCCCACCCCCCAACGGCCTGGTGGTCCGGCCCCCAGCCATGCGGGTGCCGTCCAAGGACGTCAACAACGGCGCCAGCTCGGCGTCGCACTCGTCCTCCAACACCTCGTCGTCGCTGACCGTGCGAACGGAGAGCAACGGGCCCGTGAACAGCGGCGGGAAAGCCGTGGCTCCGGCTTCACGTCCGACGGCTGCATCTTCGGCTGTGGTCGAAGCCAAGGCGAAGCGCCCGCCGCCCCCGCGGCTACAGCTCCCGTCGCACGCGACGGATGCCGCGGTGAGTTTTCGTTGGCGGTGTTGCTGTAACTGGGTGCGTAATGTTGGGGTGTATGGCACAAACGGGGGGCAAACAAACATTCCTCTAACCGAAGATTTCTTGAGCTTCACTGAATGGTCCGGATTCTGGCCTTTACATTAATGTTTTGTAATGGGGTAACATATGTGTTCTGTTTTTTTTTTGTTGGCATTAACTTTTTTGATTACTAACGAGTCATGCCACTTTGTTTTCTTAAAGTTTGACCGTATTCTGGAGGATGACACCAGTTGCTAAAGCATACTATGCTTGCAATCCTCTAAGCATGCATGTGGAAATCTGGAGATTAAATTGGGAAGGATTATAAAGTGTCTCAACATGACATTCTCCACAATAAGTGCTATGTAGCCCTGTAATCCAACATACAAAAAAAAAAAAAAAAAAGATATTGGGGGTTATTAAAAAAAAATTTGTGTTTGCGAATTTCCATCTATTAAGACGCATATATGAGAAAGTAACGGGGAGGAAAATATATCTAGTTGTCACAAACGGCACATTCGGCAAATGGCAGTTTGGTGTTCGGTGTCAACAGTCGCATCCGCTGTTGCCGTTGTTTCCCCCTCTTGGCTGAGAGGACTTTTTTTTTTCCGGGAAGGAAAACGAAATTGGGGAGACTCCTCGGGAGCTGATGGCTTTTTTCCTTCTTTTCGAGGGAAACTGGGACGTCTCCATTGATTGGCACGTGCCGGGGAAGCGTTTCCATGGCAACCACTCCCTCCTCCTCTTTCCTTCCCCGTTCCTCTTCCTTTTGTTTCGCTTACTTACTTTTCTCCCGCCTTCCCGCTTCGGTTGGCGTATGTGTTCTCTTTTCTTTGTTGATGTCGGTTGAGTATCGGAGGTCCGCGCGCCGCCTTTCCGTCGAATTGGGGAATGATATCTGGGTAAAGGCACTTCCCCGCTTGTGGCTAGCGGAAGGGGAGACACGGGAATTGATGCCTTTGATGGGAGCCATCGCATATTTATGGGTGCATTTATAGGGCTCGATAAATCTTGGCTTTTTGGGGGGTGGGAGGTCTCCTTTTCTTAAGTGCGTGGGAGTGGGGGAGGTCTCAATCTTGGGGGTTCGGAGGTTGGGATCAGGTTAGGTTTGGGGACTTTGCTTTGTTGCTGCTGTGGCTGCTGTTTTGCGTGTTTATATGTGCGTGTTTGAGCTTAAAAGCCCTTTTGTGTGCTTTGGGACTGCGGTAGTAGAAGTTTTTGTTTTTGTCGAAGTGCTTTGGAGGAGTGTGAACACGTTTCTGTGTTTGTCGAGTGGTTTGGTGTTTGTGTTCTTGCAAGTGGCTTTCTTTTTCCGTTGTTGCGGGAAGTCAGGAGATGCTGACTGTGTGTGTGTTTTTTTTTTCTTGTAGCCTTGCGCTGCTCATCCAGAGTTGGAAAGCATTCTCAAGGTGAAGTTTTGGTTTTTTTCAACGTGCTGTTATTGTTCTTGAACTTGTTAATTTTGGACAGCCAATTTTTCTTCCTTTCGTTCAGCTCTTTTTTTTTTTTTCTTTTTTTTTGCATGCTGCTGGCAAAAGTATTACTTGCTTAGCAAATCTCTTGTCTAGAAATCCCCTTTCAATCAGAGTTTTGTTTTGTCTGCGCTGCATTCGCTCTTACCTTGAGCTTGTCTTTAGATTACAACATTCGGTCGAGCGAAGCAATCCACGACGTAGTCATTAATTTGATGACTTCCTCTACCAAACTTTCTTTTTGGAGCTAAGTTTGTGTTTAGCACAAAAAAGTTTACTCTGATCCGACGGCTCATCCAGCACTGTGCCTTGAAGAGTGCACTACCGAATATGTTCCCCATTTGCAAATCGTTGACTGATAACTGTTCTGCTTCCTCAGGAGATGAAGAAGGTTCCTCCGGCCCTAACAGCCATCGAGACACCTCGGAAGGAAGACTGCAGGCCTTACTTCCCGCCTTCGCCTGTGCAGGTGAGGAGGAAAGGTGTCTCCTTTCCCTCTTCTTCCTCGTCTCCTCCCCGCATGCAATTCCCCGTCTCCTCCCTGTTTCCTCCCCGCATGGTAATGATAATTTTATTAGGACTCCTTGAGTCGGGGGGGTGGGAGGAGGAGCAATAAGGTAAACAAAATTTTTCTGACGAGGCACCAACACTGTTGACCTGACGAGTAAAACTAAAAAGAAACAGACAGGGCATGAACAACAAAAGTGCGTATAAATATTTGGTCAAATCAGTATAATACAACATGATAGCCCCATAAAATAGTCTTGTACAATAAAAAGTAAATTCAGTAAGTTGCTTCACTGGCAGCGCAGAGCTAGAAACAAGTCAAGGATGGGTTGTAATAATAGTAAGAAAAAAAAAATGAGGGTATAACAGCTGATTTTATTTCAGATGTTAAGACGTCTCTGTCATGATCGACACTTCTTTCGTTGTCCAAATTACTTTTTTTCTAATCTCTAGTGTTGCAACTGCATTGTAGCTTGTTTTTGCTTTGTTCTTTTTTAAAAGAATTGCATTTTTTTGTGGTTGCTTGCAGGAGCCTCTTCTGAATCATCTGGACGAAAATGGGGACTCTAAAGGCCTGCTAGATTCCCGGAAGGCAGCCAGCCCTCCGTAAGTGACCTTTATGTGTAATTCAATCATAAAATCTTCTCTAATACCAACACGCTACCTAAAAAACCGTATACAAATTTGTCGACACGCTGTCTAGGCGGCGCCAGTTGCCATTTAATTCGAGGTGTTCAACCACTTTATGTCCGTCTTACGGCATGTGGAATTGCAAAATTCTGTACCGTAATGGCCCGAGAGATGCCGTACCCTTATTTATAGCTTAATTTGGTATTTTCTTTTAAGCATTGAAAGATAGTCCACTCCTAGTAACCGTAGTGTTTGGATCAGTGATGACCTCGGCATAATTGCGGCTAGGTGGCTGTGGCAGAATACAAGCGAACGTTGCTGACTGGGAAGTACAGTCATCTTTGCTTTGTTGTAGCTCGCTACGATGCCAAGTTTGGCAGGAAAACGTCATCTAAAACTAGCGTTTTTTCAACTATTCTTGGTTTTACGCTAATTTTTAATTAGTGATAATAAGTCCTGAGGATCTTATTATCACTAATTAGCATGCTAAGCCATGTCTGGTTTTCTTAAGTTTTCAGTGTCTGCAGTTCTCTGCGACTTTAACGCATGCCGGCGCGACACTAATTTCGCGACTCGTGTCAGTTTGTCGTGCCGTAGTTTGCGCGGTCATTAATTATTAATGCTCCCGCGGGTGCTTGCGCGTCGGTGTCTAATTAAGCGCGCGTCCTCCCACCGTCGGTCGGGTGTGGCTGGATCGTCGGGGATCCAATTTTATCGACGCTGTTTTTGCATCGCTTCCACTTGTTGATGCCTCGCTCGGTGATAATTGCATGTAGATGAGAGGGGGTGGTTGAATGCCTCAATGTTTGAATAAGGCATGTCAGTGGGGGGTCCTGTCATGTGTGTTGTCAGTGCAAACCTGTAGGGATTTTTTTTTAAATTTTATTTCGGAAAGGACGCTTTTTTTATGTTTTTGCAAGATCACTGCAGATGGTGCAACTAAGGACGCTGACAGCTTAAGCGGGCGCAGGGCAAAGACTGTAATGATCACGTTTCTTGCTTTGTGATTCATTCTTCGGTGTTCTTGTCTGCTGATGCTGTGTTTGGATCCGGCCGTGCTTGGCCCTCTGTTACCTCCTCCATGCAGTGAAGGGCGGCATATTCCTTGACAGTGTCGTCGCTAAGGCCCTGGGGGTGATGTTCAAAGAGAGAGGTCTTGCATTTAGCCTCAAGTAACGCTTGCATGTATTTGTTTTTAGGCGCCACTTAAAGTAGCTTGGTTTGCATTATCGCATGTTTTGAGACCCCTAGAGCCGGGGTCTCAAACCAGTACCACCTAGAACACAAGGCCTGCACGTTTCCTCCTCTAAACGCCATCACTAGTAGATCCCCTCAGCGCCCCCTAGCTAGCCCGGATGAGCACCATCGTCTGCTACGTCATCTGCTCCATCGCCTGCCCCTTCGCCTGCTTCAGTGGCCTGTGTATCAGATGATGAAACAGATACTTACGCCGAGTGTCTGTTGCTATAGCATAAAATTAAGTTAGACGTTCACGTGGAGCGTCAAATGCATGAGTGAAAATGTCTTACTGCTGTACGAAGGGCTTCAAAACCCTTCGCTGGATACCATTTTTTAAGGGCTCTGTTTATACTACGGGGGTCGCTACTTTAAAGAGTTCTTCCGCAGAACGAGCGCGCGCGCCAGAAATGCATGTCTCAAAGCCAGGAGCGCGTGCTAGCTCGCGCTCCTGGTTAAGGGAGTGTTCGCATGCATGTTGCAAATGAACTTTGGAAGCTCGCTATTAGCTCGCAGTCAGCACTCGCGCACACAGCTGTGGTCGCCAGTGAACGTGACGTAGTTGCGACGCGGCTCATACTCTCGTCAAGCTTCGGGGTGTTTGCCGCTTGGGGCGGGTGGGGGTCTACTAATGAAACGTCATGCGGAGGCCTTGTCTTCTAGGTGGTGTTGCTCAAACACGCGTCCCGTGGGCAACTGGCTACGAGTTCCGATTCCCATGTCTCGAGCGCTAGATATGACATGCGCCATAGTGATCTCATCTCGTCGATTCATTTTCGCTCGAAAATTAGCTCTGCTTTTGTAACATATTCACATAGTTTATACTCATCTGTGTTCATTTTCTCTTTGTTTCCCTTCATTTTTTGCTTCCCAGCTTTTTGTAATGTACAGCAATTCCGCTACTAGGCTGATAATGCAAGCTGTTCGTTGAAGAATGCATTTCGGCTCAGCAGGAGTAACTGCCAAAGATAAAGCTATGAGTTTGGGATTCTCGCCTTCCAAAAATATCACCGTTTAAAGACAAGTATTTGTTAAGAGCGTTGTAATATACATTGGTCAGGAAAGCAAGAACTGCCAAATTAACCGATTGTTTTTTAGAGACATGTGGAGCTTGGGTAATTCTGGAGTGAATTGAGCAACGGGAACGACATTGTACTTGCTCTCATGTTTTATACGAAATGCCAGCACGGTGGCAGGGCAGTGTCATTTTAATTCTGGTTATCCCATGAGGTCTGGGTCCAAAGCAGTCACATAAACAAATGTCACTAACAAAACAGCGAGTTTATAAAATGCATAGATCACAAGGTCTCTCCTCTTTACAATGTTTAACCCCTCCCCCCGCCTTACGTTAGCACTCAACGTTTCGAGTGCGGGCTATCTGGCTCCCACACTCAAATGAGTTTGAGACATTCCTCGTCCAAAATCACAGTAACTGGCTCGCAGCTTCGGCCCAGTTCGAGGTTTTTCTTCCTTTCCCCCCAAAAAAAGTAGTAAATAAGCGGTGGTCAGAGAGAAAAATGAGGTCGTTGTTTGGGGAATGGACTGTCGTCCGCGTAATTGGGTCGCCACTTTATTGGATTACGTCCCGAGAGTCCATTGGGGGGGACTTGTCTCGGCATTTTATGGCTTTCCTCTCATTTTTCTTTCTCTTCTTTCCATCCTTAGGAAGAATCTGGCAGTAGGGATTCAGTGACATTGTGACCGCACTTTGAGGTGCTCCCATGTTTGGCAGGGTCCGTTTCGGCGGGTGCTTTTCTGGTCATTAGCGGCACGAATCCGTATCCTATTCTGACCTGGGTTGAAGCAGGCGGCTGCACGTCTCTGGTGTATGTTGAACATTCCGGTTCGGTATAGATGCGGTTGAGTGGTTGTCAAAATGTAGAGGTGTGAAGTATGATAATGTGGCTATTGGTACAGTGAGTGTCATTGTCCAGCTGTGTCTTCTAATTGGTTGGATTACAATATAACGTAACTTTAGTGTGAAGGCTTCTAGGGTGAACGAATCACGGGCACTTTGATCATTGTACAAGGTCTCCAGAGAGGGAATAATAAGTTGAAGGAAGCAAAGTGTTTGAAGCCGCCAAAAGAAATTCTTTTGCAAGAGCTGGGGTTCCGCTAATACATTTTGTCTTTCGGCTGCTTCATAAACTTTGTTGCATTCAATCAAGTATGATTCATTCATCTGCATATTTTCGATTGCTTGTATAGTGATTATAGAACAACAGAGCTGAAGTGTGCTTGCTACACGAGTACGAGTATCTGAGGTACTAATGTAATAAAACAGATTTTCCCGAAAGAAAGAAAAAAAAAAAACTGACTTTGAGAGGTTATCTCGTACAAGGCATTGGAAGGATCAGCGACGAGATGAGAGAAATTAGCTGTGGTCACCCACCCTTTTAAATATTATTACCGCATTGCGTCCGTCCGGGATGCCAAGTGATTCTGAACCAGACTTTCACTACTTTGTTGCTGGAGTACGGTGGTCCAATCCTGCCTTGGGATACATTCGACGTTGAAGTGAGATCTACGCCACGAGATGGCGCCACCCTGCGCGCGTCGTCTACAACGTTGTCGTCTGTTTACGCCTCCTCGCAGACGACCCGTCTCCTCCTCCGTGTAGTTTTCGCGGGAGCTTTATCGTACCTCGGCTTTGGTTTTTTGTTTTACGCTGTCTTAATCCTGACTTTGTTTCGTCTATTTCTTTTTTTTTTTTCTCCCCCGGGGAGGGTGGGTGTTTGTCGCGCGCGCCAGCCTTCGTTTTGAGTTCTTCTGCCGGCGATAAGCGGGGCTACATCGTCGCCGTCGCTTGCGCTAGCTGCCACAAGGCTGTCGTCGGTCGTCGTCGACGCGTGACACGAAACAGATGCGCGAGCTTCGGCAGCCGCCATCTTCTTTCCGGCGTTTCTGCCTCGTCTTCCCGTTTTATTGCTCCCCAATGGTTCATTTCTTTTTTCTCATTTCTTTTTTTTTTTCATTTTGTTTCGTTTGTGGGATTTCGCCCGTGATTGTAACTGCGGTCAACGATAACATAAAAAGAGGACGTAACAGAAAAAAGTGCGGATTTAGAGAAATACAGTAAAGGGAGATGGTCCGCTACACTTTGTCTTAGGTGCATAGAATGCTTCCTTCGACTTTATCCACCGATGTGGTGGTAATGTAAATTCTGTGTAGCGCGAGTGGGTTGGGGACTTCTTCGGCCTCCTTTAGATTTTGATTGAGTGTCCTGACACCTCTGGGAACACTGCCCCCCCCCCCCCCCCCCCCCCCCCCCCCAAACACACACAGAAATCAGATTGAGTGTTTCGTTACAATCGCCAAAATGGTCGGAGTAGTCCTATGTTTTCTATTTGCATCATATCTTACGCTCAATACGGCGTATTTATTTCGGAGAAAAAAAAAAAAAAAAAACAAGGATAAATTGCTCGTTTTGGAGAACCTGCTTTGCTTCTGCTTTGCTTAGAGAGACGTTGGCTTTTCAGGTGCGTTTTTTGCCTCGTTTTCTTTTTTCTTCTGCATTCTTTGTTCGGGATGCTGACCCGTTTCGGCTTCCAACCTGAACGATATTTTGGGACGAGCTGTGCTATATCTTCGGGTGAAATATTCGAGGAGAAGGCCGGTTTCACCGCACAACATATCCACCGATATACGTACGCAAACACAAAACCCAAAAGGCATCCCCCCCCCCCCCCCCTCCCCCAAATTGAACGTCATAAATAGTTCCACTCTCACCCTTACTGAGG